ATGTTTGAGTAAATTCTCTTATAATTAAAGAACAACAAAGTGTTGTCGCCCTTATCATTAGCACAAACGGAAATAAACAATGCGACTCTTCACGTGGCTGTGTTACACTGATTCATCAGAAATAGATTAGCCTCTTAGCTCATTAACTTACTTTTTTTTTTTATAAATCAAGAATGATGGTCTCAATTAGGCGAATGTGTTCATTGCAAGAATTTCGGTCTCATTAAGTTGTGTTATGATTATGTTCAATACAGCTATAATTACCGCCATTTATTAAATTAAGAAAACTGTTTTCTATAGGAAAATAAATTCTTAGTTTCTAAAATGTATTTAATGTATTAAACTTAACCAATTCATGGCAGCTAAAATATAGATGATCAGGGTTCCTTTCAGAAATTTTCTCCCTTGGAGGGTGCGGACATTCGCTAAAGCATTATTTAAATAATGCATATAATGGCATGCCTGAAAGAAACTCCGAGCCCTTATCCGACTAAATTACTGTAGGAAAAGGTCTAGATTTTAACCTTTATACTTTAATCAATAGCGGTAATTTAAAGTAGGGGAGAGCACTCCCATAAAATAATCTAATTTGTTTATTGGCGGTTACTTCTCTTAATGTATTCTTGATTTCAACAAGTTGTGTGTATGATTTTAAATAAAAAAACAATACATGATGTATATTCACTTAATTTGTCTTAATCGGCCTCTCTTTTATAAAGATCTACACCCTCTACTAGTTACCCAGACTAAAACACAAACACCGTCTACATTTAGATAAGAATCCCGACACACTTTTATTTTACGTTAAAGGCTAACCAAAAATGTTGTTGTTATTTTTTTTTTTTAATAGTTTTAAAATAAAAATTTAAAAATTTCTAAATGCACACTGTAAGTAGTTTAATTAAACCAAGAATAAATATACCAAAAATAAATACTGTTAAAATATATTTCAAAAATTTCTATAACAAAACACCAAACAAGAGAGATAACAATGTAAAAATTTCCTCTCGTTTAGGTAAAATTCCGACTGACCTTGACCCCAACGCTTTTATTCCGCTTGCTTTAAAAACCGTTTTGGCCACGCGTTAAGTCGGAATTTTCGCATTTATTATGCAACTATACGGCCAACCTGAGTAAAACGGTATTAGTCCATTACACCTGAACCACGTCTCTAGGAATTTGTTCCGTTTCACATGGAGACCCATTTCAAATGTATCACGTCCATGTTGTATCTTGTTCTCTAATTCATCACGTTGTTTCACGGTAATTACATTAATTTTTTTTTTTCACTTAGTTTTATTAGTAGATCTACATTCAGCGTCGGAATATAGTATAAATAGTTAGATCTTTTATATGATTGTTCAATGTGAAGAAATTATAATTTTCTTTAGAAAATTAAACTTTGGTTATTTAAAATTCCGATTATTTAGAAGTTGTGCAATGAGCATGGAATGTTTCTAACTTAGTTCATACCCATCCCCCCCCCCCTCCCCCCCCCCCTCCCTCCATCATCTATGGCGATATTAAATTTAAATAGAGACCATATGTAATTTAACTTGAACCATTATCCGCCCATTATCCCCCCCCCCTTTTAAAAAAAATGTAAAATTCCCCCCCCCTTCCACCCCCAAGAAAGTTTAACTAAAAAGCTCATTTTGTATTTTAGTTCCATGTGTTTTGTAGAACTACTTCATACACGGCATTTGGCACACTCCATATTAGAGATATTTAACATACGGGGGAGAGGGGTGGGGTGTGGGGAGGGCATGTAGGGTGATAGATACATTTCTTTTTATAGAACAAAGGTTTGGGGTATATAGTGGCGTGTTTATCATGCTGGGTGAGAAGTGTCTGGATTTTTATTACTGTCTTGGGGGGGGGGGTGGGGGGGAGTCACGTCCGAAATTTAGCTCTACATCAATGTAGTGACTGTCCCTACACTAACTGGCTTATCTTCAAGGTAAATGTCAGAACTTAGTCCCATACTTAATTTCAAGATTTGGATTTCTCCAACTGTCGACACCCATTTTATAAGCACACGATGGTGTGTACAACCACGTTTAAAACTGACTGAAGTATCAGCTACTGGTCTTCTTTCAGACTTTTTTCCTCCAGGGAATAAGAGGGGGGGGGGGGAGTATATATTTTCTAAAAAAAATTATATATATTACATATATATATATATATATATATATATATATATATATATATATATATATATATATATATATGTATGTATGTATGTATGTATGTATATGTGTATATATATATATATATATATATATATATATATATATATATATATATATATATATATATATATATATATATATATATATATATATATATATATATATATATATGTATGTGTTGTGTGTTTGTTGTGTGTGCTGTGTACATCGGCTGTACCGCTCAGTACACACTCATGTGCTGTGTACATCTTACATCAAACATCTCAAGTCGCCTGCACCACTACCTACACTCATGTGCTGTGTACATCGACTGCACCACTAACTGCACGCACTCATCCCTGACATCCAACGCTTCATTTATTTTATTTCATAATATTTTTTTTTACATTTTCTACTGCACAAACGTGCAGTCAAGCGCTTCTTGATGTACACACTTGAAAGGCTAAACATAAAAAACCCACTTATTTCTTGGCTACGAAAATACCAATTTATTTTTGGCTTTGCCACTTATAAAGCCGCTAGGCCTTTTTTTTTTAAAGAAAAAGTTGTGTACAAGTTTTAACAAATTATCTTACCAAACCATAAGACATAACCTCAGAGTCAGAGGCGGATATACTAAAGACACTGAAATTGCGAAACGTATTTTGAGTTCACTAAGTTCGAAAGGTAATCAAATGTTGTATATAGCTGTTGTAAAACTTGTCGAGAATGTGGTAAAACGAAAGCGCGCGTATTCAGAAGGAACTAGGTGTATGTCTTTAGGGTGTGTAGCGATTTAAGGTAGGCTCTGCGCAGTGGTTTTAAATAGCAGGGATTCTTTAAAAAAAAAAGATTTATTATTTTTTGAAAAATGTAGCTTGAAGGGGTTTTTAAATTTTCAGAAAATAGTTAATAAGAAAGCTGTGTCATATAAGTTGCATCCTTTTTGGTGGATGCGTCATTGTGATTGAACTAAAAATAAACTTTACAATTTGATTATATCTACTTCCTGACATTCTTGAACAATTTATTTTTTGCTTATCGTGATTTCACTACTGGTTGCTCAGCAGTTTGGAGTTTTTTAGTATAATAAAATTGAAACGTTAACAAAAAGTTTTTGAAAAAGTAGATATGCCTAGATTTAGTAAAATTATTCATCTACTTTGTTTGCTAAAAGTAACTAGTTTTTTAGGTTATAAACAAGGTAATTAAAAAGTCTAGTGACAATTTTAGCGCAATTTCCTTATGTTATCTAAAAATAGCTCTGTCGTAGCGTAAATCAAGAGCAGGGCTAGTAAAACCATTGGTAAGTTATTAAAACGTTTTTTATTAATTTTTTTTCCAGTATTTTACATGTTTATTTACAATAGAGTTACATGACTAAAAACCATTGCGCGCCTAGCTACTGAACGTGATATCGCAGCCATTGAACGTGATGGCGCAGCTATTGAATGTGATGACGCGTGTGGTGTGGTTGGATAAAAATGCCTACTAATTCGGTCCAAATTTTAATTAATTCAAAAAACTTTTTGTGACCGAACGAAAGGATATTTTTGAAAACTTTCTTCGGCAATATTGTTCTAAATTATGGCAGGAATCGATTGGTACATGTTTCAAGTCGCTAAGTGGTCTGGTTGCCGAGATATGGGCCAAAAACTGCATTTTGTCGAGGTTTTTTGGCTTTTCCGGGAAATCCATGAAAGAAACCCGGAATTGTTTTGGCCTATGTTCATCCTCGTAACTTGCTTAACATAATTGCTTTGGAACTAGTCCTCGATATTGCTTCGTTGAGGAGGAGATACGACTTAAAGCTGCGGACACACATCCATTCATACATCCAGAAATGACGGGTTAATAAACGCAATTCTCCAGAACGGAAATTGCGCTAAAAAACAAATCAGAGCCAAGGGGGGGGGGGGGGAATATTTGATTTATGAAAGTTATTCTAACAAAAATTTTAATACATAATATAACAACACACGTTAATAAAATAAACAATGGTACAATGCCTATTTGCGCATTTTTTGTGTGGGAATTCCCAATACCGTGTTTACATTGCTTTACAAGGAGCGCATTATGCCAGACTGTATATTATAATGGTTTCTGGCTGACAGCGGTCCTGGACACTTCCTGTTTGTGTTTCAGTCATCAAGTATTAAGAAAATACTGCAGTATATTATACTTATTACATCAGAAGCATCACAATATGTTGAGTATGTTTATCGTATTCTACTCTGTCGATTGTATATCTAGTGTAGTGTGTATGTTTTATAGTTTAAACCAGTATGAAATAATGTCACAGTAATAGATTTTTGTTCTTGTGAGGAGATGGGTGTTGTTAGTAAATTGTAAAGTAAGTTAACTTGATATCAACAATAACAAGAACTGCAGCCGTGAGTACTGAAATAATTGATATAGTGTTTGTTTACATAGTTAAATAAGTAAATTAACCTCTCATACCAGACGGTAAATAGGGCAGATAAAGAAGAGTTCACCTTTTTCACGTAGCACAGCATAGGTATGAAGGTCTACCACACTAGGTATTATATACAGCTGCCTATACACTCCACAACTTAATTAACTCAAAGCACTCGTTAAAGCTGATTTGATTCAGGGACTTCATATAGACTCAATCTCTTGAACCGAACTCAGATTAGCAATCTTTAGCCATTGATATCATTTAAAACGTAACGCAAGACATTGGAGAAAATAAATCTCCGCCTTTGCATCTGTTTTCTGGTTATTTAAAATTGAGGGCAATTTTTTTAGGGCAAGTCGTAAATTAAACCTTGCCAGCAAGACCTGAAGTTTTAAATCTGTGACAAGTAAACACGCAATTGTGTGTGTTGCATCGTGTCGCATGTCTTTTGAAAGCCTCAGGAAAAACTAACTTATAACGCTTGCTGGATGGTCTACACTCGTGTGATATAGTTACAGCTTCATGGGCTTACTAGATATACTGCTTGTGTTTGTGTGTGTTTCAACAGGAAAATATTCTTATACAAGTATCTTTTTTAGAATCCTTTTGTTAAAATATCCGAATCTGAAATCAGCAATAATACATTTAATCCAAGGGCTAACAAAAAATATCCATTTATTGTCACGCAAAAGAAGCTTTTTAATTAATCAAACCATCAAGCTTTTTGGATCACTAATGTCAATATATGGCATATATATATATATGTATATATATATATATATATATATATATATATATATATATATATATATATATATATATATATATTAGAATTATGAAGAGAAAACCGTGATTGGTAATACCTAACAGCCCCATTAATCTGTACAGCTATGTGACATTTTTCTTTCATTTTAAATCTATTTTAAAAGAAAATCGATATTGTGTATTGAATAAACTCCCATAAATTTGGGACGTAGATGTCGGTCTTAGTTTTGACAAACCGAAATTCAACATCTAGGTGCATCTGATTCTTTGACCATCACTTTTCTGATTTTCACCATTTTTTATAGAATTATCATCATCTTTCGCAAAAAAAAAAGTGTGTGATCAACAATATGCATTATCGTCTTTAGATGATATACGTCTTCAGCACTATACCCAGCCGCTTTTACTTTTTCCCTATGTACTCAAATACCTATCATAATTGTGCAGTCTCAGCAACATCCTCTTACAGGTTAACTTTATGAACTCGAACTAAACAGTTTCGTTTTAAGAGCAGTCTCCCCTACCACTCGACCATGCCGTACCATATTGACTTTTTTTTAAATGACTTAATCGTCCCAGTAGAGGAAGAAACCATCAGCGTGGATCTGCCCCGCCCTCCATCGTCTGCTAGCGGCCTGACGTCACGATGATCAAGTCCAAGGTCAAGGAGGTGACGGACTTCAGCAAGGCGGGCCGCAGCACCTTCATCAGGGTGGAGCTCGACGCCATCGTCAACAACATCAACATCCTCAAGTCCAAGTGTGAGGACCACACACGTGAGTTGCGTCTGTTCTTACCTGGGGGTGGGGGGGGGGGTTAAAGTGGATCATCTTTGGAATCTGTGGATCGATAAAGTATCGTCAGTCCACTGGCGGATCATCTTTTAAATCCATAGGTGGATTAAGTTTTTTGAATCCACAGGAGGATATTTTTTTTAATCCACAGATGGATTAAATCTTTTTGAATTTGCAGGTGGATTCCTTAGTTTAAATCTATGACTGTATTAAGAATTTTGAATCCACTGCATGGGTGGGGGTGGTAAGTATTTTGAATCCATACTAGATCAAATCCGTTGAATTTGCATATCATATCTTTTAAACATACTCATTATGTAAAAGATAATCATAATAATGCTTTTAACCCCTGCTGTCTTAGTATATATTGAGAGAATCATTTACATACTCTAAAAATGAAAAAGTAAATAATATATAATAATAAATATAATAAAAATGTAAACTCTCTTTAAGTATGAAAGTAAACTCTTGTCGTTGATGACACCTACCTATACATTGTGAGGAGGAATTTGTAACGACAATATCTATTTTCCCCAGAATTCATGAAGATCTTTTTCCCCAGAAATCATGACCATCTATTTCCCCCAGAAATCATGACCATCTTTTTTCCCCAGAAATCATGACCATCTTTTTTCCCCAGAAATCATGACCATCTATTTCCCCCAGAAATCATGACCATCTATTTTCCCCAAAAATCATGACCATCTGTTTTCCCCAGAAATCATGACCATCTATTAATTTTTCCCCAGAAACCATGACCATCTATTTTGCCCAGAAATCATGACCATCTATTTTCCACAGAAATCATGACCATCTATTTTCCCCAGAAATCATGACCATCTTTTTTCCCCAGAAATCATGACCATCTATTTTCCACAGAACTCATGACCATCTATTTTTCCCAGAAATCATGACCATCTATTTTCCCCAGAAATCATGACCATGTATTAATTTTTCCCCAGAAATCATGACCATCTTTTTTCCACAGAAATCATGACCATCTATTTTCCCCAGAAATCATGACCATCTATTTTCCCCAGAAATCATGACCATCTATTTTCCCCAGAAATCATGGACATCTATTTTCCCCAGAAATCATGACCATCTATTTTCCCCAGAAATCATGGCCGTGTTGAAAGGAAACGCTTACGGCCACGGTGCTGTAACGGTGGCCAAACATTTGAACTACATTGGCCTGGAACATTTCGCCGTGGCCACGTCACTAGAGGGCCAGGAACTACGGTCTAACTACATCACTGGCTTTATTCAAGTACTGGGTAACTTATACGTCCTTTAATTATAACATATACGTCATTGAATTATAACAATTATAACACATACGTCCTTGAATTATAACATATACGTCATTGAATTATAACATATACCTCATTGAATTATAACTTATACGTCATTTAATTATAACTTATACGTCATTGAATTATAACTTATACGTCATTTAATTATAACATATACCTCATTGAATTATAACTTATACGTCATTGAATTATAACATATACGTCATTGAATTATAACATATACCTCATTGAAATATAACTCATACGTCATTTAATTATAACTTATACGTCATTGAATTATAACATAAGGGGTCGGGGTGGTCGAGTCGGTAAAGCTCATGGGTGCTAAACCGAAAAGTCTTGAGTTCGAACCTTCGGGCAGATGAGTCTCGTGAGCTAGGGACAGCCACTCTTCTAGGAGAGACAACTCTAAAATCAAATAACTGCTGCCTTGTAGTTTGTTCTTGGTTGGGCAAAGGCTATGGAAGCAAATCCAAAAAAAAAAGCAGGCTGAAATCGGAGTCAATGGCCTCAAGGGCGCATAACCAGTTGACACGTATCCTTAATTGTGATGGAGGGGATCCCCTCCAATGCTAAAATTAAGAACAAAGAAGATGAAGAAGTGGGATTTATAACATATCCGTCATTGAATTAACAAATACGTCATTGCAATAAATGGCATTATATTCTAGCACAAATCGTCTTGTAAGATATACGTTATCGTTTTTTTTTTAAACATATCCGTATTTAATTAACATACATGTAACTAAACTAATAAAATATGTCATTAATATATTAAATTGTAACATTCCTGTTCTTGTCCAAGACATAAGGGGCAGATTAAGAAGAGGTTTATATTTCGAAATAAAAAGTAAAGAAGCTCTTTCAGACCTAACCATACATGGGGCTGATAAAGTAGATTTCATGTTTCTTGACCTTGGCATGTAAAGGGATAAGTGTTCAGCACTAAAGCCAGCCGCCCTTACTTTCATTAATGTGAGTCAGGAGTCCATAAGAGCTGGCTTGACTCAGGGACATCCTATAGCCCCGAATCCGGACCGAGATCTGAACTCGAGACCATCGGGTCGTAGCCTCTCTACCATTTGACCACGCCGTCCCTTTAGCTGAAGGCATTTGACAATATTTAGTGTAAGTAAGTAGTAAAGTTCTCTTTTCAAACCTGACGGTCTATAGTTAAGTAGTTCACTTGTTGCTGTGACCTCAGCATATGAAGAGAGATAGGGGACGGAGCGGTGTAGCGGTAGAGAGCTGAACTGCTAACCCGTAATCTCGAGTCGAATCCGGGATCAAGTCAGTAGACCGTCCCTGAGTCCACCCAACTCTGATGGGTACCTAACTCACTTTAGGGAAAGTAAAGGCGGCTGTGCATAGTTCTGACCACACTATCTCTTCATACAATATTTGTCTAACAACGATAGCCATTAACCTGACATCTATGACCGTGTTTGCTTTACAATGATGACCTTTACCCTCTGACCATATTTGCTTATAATGATGACCTTTACCCTCTGACCATATTTGCTTATAATGATGACCATTACCCTCTGACCTTATTTATCCCTAATTTATCTCCGGGCAGGCAGCTGTGCCGAGGAAGAGATCGACACGATGCTGCAGTACGACCTCACACCAACAGCCAGCACCGAGTCCTTCATCAAGAAACTAGCCGAGAGGGCGGCGGTCATCGAACCCTGCTTGAGTGTCGCCGGCAGTGAGGACGAGATCCGGTCAACCGGCTTTAGTTCACCCGGCTCCCAGTCACCCGGCTGTCAGTCTCCCGGGTGTCTCACCCCAAGACAGCATTACCCGGGCCGTCTGTCCCCTGGCCGCCACTCATCCGACCCCCACTTCTCAGAGCGCCACTCCAAGGGACGCTACTCCCCAGAAGGATACTCCCAGGGACGCCACTCCCCGATACGTCACTCCCCAGAAAGCCATTCCCCATCAAGTTTTGGCTCTTGTAAAGTAGTGAGGACACGAAAGGTACTATATGAGAACCTGACGTACTATCAGTGGCGTAGCGAGGTCGGGTGTCACCCGGTGCGGCACTTAATGGTGTCCCCCCCCCCCCCCCCCGCAGAGGCGTAGAAACCCTTTTCGGGGACAAACTTTCAAATTTCCGATTTGCACCCCCCCCCCCCTCAAACTTTCGATTTGTACCCCCCCCCCCCCCTCAAACTTTCGATTTGCACCCCCCTCAAATTTTTCTCTATATATTTTGCTATTTTTTGCCTTGGTGTCACCCCCTGAATGGTGTCACCCGGTGCGGTCCGCACCCCCCCCTCGCTACGCCTCTGCTTACTATGCCTACATATTACATATCATGATCAGTCCAACTTTGTAAAACAAAAGTCAGAGCAGAACTTAACACATTCAACTTCACATTTTTAAATTATATTTCAAAGCGACAATTTTATGAGTCACATTTTAAAGTCATATAAAGATGTGTTTAGTTAAATTATTAAATTATTAAAGCAATATTTTAAGTCTCTCAACCACCTTTTAAAATCACTTTTCAAGTCATATTTTAAAAGTCATGCTCCTACCTCTACAGAACGTTTCTGTCGTGATCAAAGTTGACACTGGCATGTCCAGGAATGGATGCCAGGTGGAGGACCTGCCCAATTTAATCGAGGTGAGAGGTCAAAGGTCTAGTTGTCCAAGCTGTCCATGATTTTACGCCTTCGTTGGTCTCTGTGCCGTTTAAAAGTCGTGTGGGCCTCATGGGAAATTGCCCAGTGTTAAATCACTGATCGGGACAGTTTTCTTCGTTATCACTGCTCATTTTAATTTTCTGGCATATTTATGCTATACAACCTTTATCGAATTATCATCAGTTTTTCCCAAGACGCATGGGGTCGATGAATTAGTGTTTATCTGTTTCAAAGACCTCAGCATACAGTAGTAAGCACCTTGCCCAGCCGCATTTATTTCCCTAACGAAAGTCAGGTACCCATCAGATCTGGGTAGACTCAATGACTTCCAACAGACTCGAGCGTGGGATTTGAACTCGATACTTTCGGGGCTAACAGTTGTAGGCTCTGCTATCCTACGAGGCCGTTCCCCTCGTCTTCCATTGATTGTAGAAACTACAGTCATCCTATCGTTAGTGTAGGATTATTTGAATTTTGGTTTGATGGGTGTATAGGCTGTAAATAGTATTCAAATGTCATAATAGTAATATTTTTACATTTATCATACAAGTTGCTTTTTTTTGCGTCGCATTACTTGAGGTGTAGAGAGAGTTCGGAATTGGGTCAGGTTGAGCGCTAGACTGCTAACTTCAAAGTCTCGAATACGAATCAGTAGAATGTCTCTGAGCACACCCAGTTGTGATGGGTACCTGACCCATGTTAGGGAAAGCAAAGGCGGCTGGGTATAGTTCTGACCACACTATCCATTCATATGTCGTGGTCACATAAAAGTGTCAGGTTAAAAAATGGTACTTTACATGGTGGTTAGACCGATGTTAAAACTGTTTTGATTGGTCGCGTAAGATAATATCAGACAAAACGTGAACACAAAATCATTTGCTCTTGATGATGCTATTACATTAATGTTTCGGTCGTCTGTCTTCGTCAGACTTGCAAGAAAGAGGGCGTGACCGTCCACAGCATCATGACGCACTTTGCCCAAGCGTGGGACGACCCAGAGTTCACTGCCCTTCAACTGCAGACTTTCCTGACAGCCACCAAACAGTACAAGTGAGTTTAGTCTGACATTCTGGTGGAAACATACTGGTACCAGTTCGTATTGTGTACCATAGCTTGTGGTGGCCGTTAGTAGTAAATGTTTGTAATTTTTCTTTAAATTTTCTCAGAGATAAAGGGATCAAACTCTTGTTCGTAACGTCTCTTATATTTCCATAGAGATAAAGGGATCAAACTCCTGTTCATAACGTTTCTTACATTTCCATAGAGATAAAGGGATCAAACTCTTGTTCGTAACGTTTCTTATATCTCCATAGAGATAAAGGGATCAAACTCTTGTTAATAACGTTTCTTACATTTCCATAGAGATAAAGGGATCAAACTCTTGTTCGTAACGTTTCTTATATCTCCATAGAGATAAAGGGATCAAACTCTTGTTAATAACGTTTCTTACATTTCCATAGAGATAAAGGGATCAAACTCCATGCGGCCAACTCAGCTGCCATTATACGAGGTATTGCCACTGATCTGGACTTCGTTAGACCGGGTATAGCTATGTATGGGCTACCATTAGGTAAGTACATAGCTATGTATTGTTACCATAAGGTTAATACATAGCTACATAAAAGCTTCCAGTATGTAAATACATAGCTATGTATTGTTACCATTAGGTTAGTACATAGCTACATAAAAGCTACCAGTATGTAAATACATAGCTATGTATTGTTACCATTAGGTTAGTACATAGCTACATAAAAGCTACCATTAGGTAAGTACATAGCTATGTAAGAGCTTCCATTTGATAAGCACGGATGAGCTTCTTGATTTAAGTATGATACTTAGCAGCATTTAGATATGCGCTGTTGTTCTATTTTAAATTATAGTCAGGCTTCGTCATCACAAAATTACACCCATTACGTTCATTTAAAAAAACTGGCTTGAAAGATTTCAAATCTCATTCTTGTTTGAAATATTTTCATTGATCTCTGACAGGCTCCCTTCCCTTTCCAAATTGTTAACCAAAATGTTTTAAATAACAGATTCTCATACCATCTCCTATTTGTTAACAAAAATGTTTTAAATAACAGACTCTCTTACCTTCTCTAATGTGTTAACAACAATGTTTTAAATAACAGATTCTCATACCATCTCCTATGTGCAAAGCAACTGTTTTTGTTCCCTAACAGACTCTAGCCCTGAAACAGCACAGTCGTACCAGGAACTGGGCCTACAACCGGCACTGTCCTGGGTCGCTAGACCCGTCCTTATAAAACACCTGGAGGCGGGTAGGAAGGTGGGATACGACCAAACATATGTGTAAGTAACTTCACTTAAACACACGTTTAAGTGACGTCAAATGGGGGTGTGTGTTGGGGTGGGGGGTGACACCAGAAGTTGTTTTTTTTTTCCTAACTGGCGAAAATATGAGAGTGTAAGTAGTATATTAGGTCCCTTTTGGAGCGATTTTTTGGCGGAGGTGGGGAGGGTGAGGAACAATGACATATAGTAAAATACTCGGGAGCAGGATGCGCGGGATGCGCAATGACATATAGCAAAATACTCCCAGCCTGGCGCATCGGGAGGGTAAGGGTGGGTGAGCAGGATGCGCAGGATGCGCAAAGACATATAGTAAAATACTACGCCAACTGGGGTTGGCGGAGGTGGTGGGGAAGTAGGTCACCTTTTGGTGACCTTGTGACGTAATCATTGACCTTGTGACGTCATCATTGACCTTGTGACGTAATTAGTGACTTTGTGATGTAATCATTGACCTAGTTACGTAATTTTAATGCGTTTTTTAATGAGTTTTAATGAGTTTTTTAAATTTTTAATTAATTTTTGACCTAGTTACGTAATTTGATTATTTGTTTACTTTTTAATTAATTTTTATTGACCTAGTTACGTAATTGGATTTTAATGAGTTTGAATTTAATTTTGTAATTTTAATTAATTTTTATTAACGAGTTACGTAATTTGATTATTTGTTTGATTTTAAATTGTTTACTTTGTTTGTTTACTTGTTGTTTATTTGTTTATATTGTGTAATTTTTATTAACGAGTTACGTAATTTGATTATTTGTTTACTTTTTAATTATTTTTATTTTGTTTATTTTTAATTTTATTTTATAATTAGTTTGAATTTAATTTAATTAATTTGATTTTGATTACTTTGTTTAATTTATTTATTTGATATATTTCTTTTCTTTGTTGTTTAATGTTGTTTATTTATTTGAATGTATGTATGTTTTAAATAAAAGACTAACACTAGCATGTACTAGAACAGTCTTTGTATAGGGACCATTCAGCAACACAACGAACGTTACAAAAATAGAACATCCATTAAAGATAACGATCAGGCGACAGCTGTGTTACGTATCGACCCGCCCGCGAAGTTTTCTCACCGCTGCCCGTTTTAATGGGAAAGTATTGATCGCAGCCGCTGGCCCATCACACCTAATTAATTTGGTCACGCCTCGTGGGTTTATGTGTTGTTCACTAAAGCGAACACAGCAGGGGGTATGGTAATTAACGCGAAGCCAGCGTTAAGTGTGGGAACACCTGTTACCACGTTAATCGATTTTTCCCCCGGTTGGGTCCCGTGCTTTTCACTAACAGTTATACGGACAGTATCATAGGTTTTTTGTTTTCACCTAGGCAATGTTTTGTTGTTGGTTGGTGTAGAGTTTATACGAGGGTCGGTGAAGTTTTCACCGAGGTTGGTTTTGAGTTCGAACCATCCATGTTTAGGAATTGCTAGGTGTAGAGTTTATACTAGGGTGGTGTGGTTTTGGTTTCATGGTAAGGTGGTGGTAAGGTGGTGATGGTAAGGTGGTGGTAAGGTGGTAAGGTGGTGGTGGTAAGGTGGTGGTAAGGTGGTGGTAAGGTGGTGGTAAGGTGGTGGTAAAGTGGTGGTAAGGTGGTGGTAAGGTGGTGGTAAGGTGGTGGTAAGGTGGTGGTAAGGTGGTGGTAAGGTAGTAGTGGTAAGGTGGTGGTAAGGTAGTAGTGGTAAGGTGGTGGTAAGGTGGTGGTAAATTTGCTTAAGATTATAAACTTCAAGTTTTAAAAATCAACAACGTTATAGTACGTCGTGTCAAATGACACACAGTTTAAAATGTCTAAATTTCACCAAAATAATGATGTATAAACTAAATATGATATGACGTTAGCATACATATCATTCAATCTAATCATTCTAAAGTACAAATCAATAATTTTTATTGATTAAGGGGCCGTGTTCATACTAGGGTCGGTGAAGTTTTCACCGAGGCAGATTTCAAAGTTGGGTGTGGATATTTTTATTTGTATATGGAAAGATTTAAAAGTTTGGATGGGAACATTGTCACTTTTGAGAGTAAATGTCAATGTGTTTAGGAAGGGGATATTCATTGGGGAGTGGTGTCTACAAGTTACATATCCCAGTCTGTTGGAGTGGTTTCTAGGGGGTTGTGACATTAATTGAATAAATACTTGTCTGTAAGCTTGTCCTACATCCTTTGTCTGTCCAAGGAATAGTGTGGGTAGTGGTACGGTCTGTGTATCTATCGGTTGGTATTGAGCTTAGGGATGGGAGAAGGGGGAAGGGGTTGCTGACAAAGGGAAGGGGAAGGGCGAATTGTGATAATGGTTGGGGCACCGATCAGAGCGGTAAAGGGATATTTCCAACTCGGATCCAGTATTTTAAATGGTTCATTTTGATTCCAGTCATACATCTTATTCAGGATACCGAGTTACCTAACTTTCAGGGACAAGTAACAAAACAATAACTCACATCAAAAATTTAAAAAAGACCGTTTATATCATAAGTTTTTTATTGAATAAAAACAACCCCATCAGCATACAGTCATGGTTCTGTCTTATTTACATATTTACAGTAAAGTCTCGTTAAAGTCACGGTTGGTAAACTAAAAGGTCTTATATGTCTAGGGGAGATGTTGTGACATTGTCTGCGTCTACTTGTCTTTTAATGTAAAAGTAAGAAAGTGAGTTTCTGTGTTGGGTGTAAGTGTATATCCCCGTGTTGTATGCTCGGAACCCTGTGTTTGTCCCACCACTTGGTTCCTTTGTTGTGAGGACCTGCATGAAAGATTCTTTGCCTAGTGTGTTGTGATTTTTAGATAATCCCTTGGTTGATGTTTTATTATAGTCGCCAAAACAGTGGTACGTCTTACTACATAAAGATACCATCCCATCCCCTTCATATTCTAATTTAAACAACCCCGGTGTTCTCTTTTCATAAATTTTCCTAGCCCTACACCCCAGACAATGACTATCTACCGTGCCTTTGCCGCTTATAAATTGTGGTCTATGTGAGTCGCATACTTCTGAGGGGAACCATTTGTCGTAAATGTCAAAAAACTCGTGTTCTAGTCCCGGTCTTACGGCTTTTAACAAGTCATCGGTACTTAAGGCTAAGTATAAACTGTCCGTGTCCATCTCACATAGCTGAAAGTCGGTTCTATCTATATATTTGTCTATAAAGTCATAATAAAATTCTAACATTCTAAGTTTTGCGTACTGATAAACGAAAAAGCCTATCTGAAGTGGGAGATCCCAAACTATCTTCTTTTTTAACGTTTCTACTTCGTAAACATCGTCGGTAAGTTTTGTCATTTTTTTAAAGCGCGGATTATTAATACAATCCCCTATATCCCTATCACTACAGTAGGTCATGTCCGCATGTCGTGTTTTATCCGTCAAAGTTTTACCGTATGCCGCGTTTCCTAACAATTTCATTGTTTCACTAGTTATTGCGTATTTATCGTCTATGTCCCCCTTTCTTCGCGCGTCTGAAACTGTATCCCCAAATGTCTTAAAACATGCAACCGGATTATATTCAACGACTTGATAAATTTTAGTTACCACCAACCCATGATTTAAATACCACTTTAAAAGGGGGGTCGCTAATAAAATTTTCTCCCCTGTAAAGCTACCGATTAAAGTCCGTCTACCGCTAGTTAATAAGTTGTTATCGATCGCGTATTGTCTCATAAACGGTCCGATGTCGTCGCGCGTAACGTCCGTATTTTTAAAAATAGGTGTCATCTCACTAAAATGTTCTCTTAAACTATCCGGTACTTTAATGTCGCATTCTATCAGTCCAAAACACGAGTCGTCTAAAACAGAATCGATGATCTGTTTTTCAGTCAGGGGCCATTTCTTACCATAGGTCGGTGTCGGTGTCTTTTGCGATTTGTCAATAGATTTTAAATAGTCTTTAATAGTTGGGTTCATTTTTTTCTGGTTCCCCCACTCACATTCCCACATTTCTACGACTTTAACGTCAACAGTATCTGTAAGGTACTTCGTAATTTCGTTTGTCTTTTTAAATAAATCTGTCAAGGGTCTGTTACTAATGGGGTTTACTGTTCTGTCTTTAGTTAAAGGGCAGTCAGGGTGTCCATGAAAGAGGCAGCCATGGAACTGATAAACGGTTCGAGTGTTCGCGTCCCACCCGTCTACTCTTATATGGCGAGATCCTAAGCTAACTTCGCCCCCGTTAAACGCGGTTTTTAAAGTTACCCCCTGTGTTTTTGAAACCCACGATAACCACTGAAAGGCCTGTTCCCCATAATGATTCGCTTTACGCGGTCTAAACCCCTCCTCACTATTTCTAATAATCGGAAATCCCGTCGGCATTTTTTGCATTAAAGACCATAAATAAAGCGCGTTTGCGTCGTACCCCTTAATTGCCTGTACCACCTTTTTACTATTCCCCCTAATGAACGTTTCACCCTTTTCGTGATGTCTATGAAAAATAATGGAGGGGCCCCCTACGATATTATTTCGGATTGTTTTATGTAACTCTGATTCGCGCTCGGAACACAAAGAAAAAGAAACGTTTTTGGGAAGTGTTTTGAATAAGTATTTTAAGGTTACCCCCGGGACAGAAATCGCGTCTTTAAAAATATCAACCCCTAAATTTTTGTAAAAATTAGTTTGCTGCTCGAGCGCTTCGATAAACGGTTTTACATCGATATTGTTATACCAAATAAGATAATCTTTAAACGTTTGCATCCCCTTCTCTACCCAAATTTGCCTACACGTCGCGTACTCCTCGTCTGAAATGTTACAATTTTTTAATGATGAAAAAAAGGCCGAATGCGGAGGTAAAGACTTTTCATCTAAGACGGCTAAATTTTTGACATATTCGTACGGAAAAAATCCCTTGGTCTCTTTAACATTATACGCGGCGAGGTATTTACTATAGCTAAACCCCGGTGCTAGATAATTAACTATATCTAAGAACTTTAATTTATTAGTTGATATACACATAAAATTATTATTTCTTTTAACTACATATTTAAACGGTGTTTTTTTATCTTCTACCTCGTCTTCATCATCGTTACAACTAGCTCTAGGTCCCTCCTCTAACCCCTCTTCTGTGTTTGAATAAGCTAAAAAGTACTGAATAAAATATGGTTTAACGAGATTTATATCATATTTTCCTGAATTAAACCCTATAACCGGCATTTGTCGCAAATACTCGTCTAATCTACCGCTAAGAAAACTATCAAACCCTTTGTCGTTCGACTTATTATCACTACCCCTAGCTTTAGGTGGAAATAACTTCCTGATTTGCTTAAAAACAGGCTCGAACTGTTTTTTCAAAATTCCATAAGCTGCCTCGGCGATTATGTGGAGTCTGTCAATAACTCTTGTCACTAATTCTTGAGGGTCACCAGTCGAAATAAAACAGATGGGTTCGACGAACCCATCTACGTTTGAGGCGACAGAGCAAGACAAAGGCACGTGTTTGGCAACGCTTTTTGTAACTCTACCTAACGTGGGTAACTCGGTATGGTCGAAATAGCATTCGAAATCGTAAGTTGCTCGGAAGGGATAAACAAAGTTACTATCTACATCTAACCCATAGGACGCTAAAAACTCCCAGATTGTTTGCTGTGTCTGATAAACCCCTCCCTTATACCTATCTACGGGTTTCCCCCCATTACACCCTTTCACGTGTCTGTTTAATTGTTTAACGGTGGGCCATAATTTGTTACACACAGAACACGCGAAAGCGTGACCCGCCCCACCTATATTATTAATGTACATAAACTGATTTTGAAAAAATAAAAGATACACAGTCTCCCTAAACCTATCACTACTTCTAATTTTCGGAGAAAGGACCTGATTTTCGTTAAATTCAAAAAGCTCAATATTTACACTAAAACACGACTCTAAGAGGGGAATTTCAACCAAACTAACCCCGCTAAAATTAGCCAAGGTCCCGAGACCTTGGTGCGCTTGCCACTGTTTCGCGAGTTTTAATGTTGGAATTCTAAGATCTCTTGTGGGTGACCCTAAATGTCTGGCTAAACATCTAAAAAAGGAGAAATTGTCTGTGTAGGGTTTTGACTGTGAATCCTGTTGTAACATGTTAATGGCGTGATTATGTTTAATAAAGTCAGGAATGTCTGTGAGAAGACTTGTCGGTGAAGGTTTGTCTGTGGTCATGTGTAAGTCTACGGCATCTCCCCTAAGGTCGTCTACAGGAAAAATAGTGGTGTGTGAATTAAGGTTACTGTCGTTGTTAGTCTTTACGCGTTTGTTGTTTGATATGTCGTCATACGTCGTGTGTCGTTTTAATGAGTTAGTGTTGGCCGCGGTACGAGCTGTTTGGGTCGCTGATGGGCGTTGGACAGTATGTGTGTCGGTCACTAATGTGGGTTGGTGTGTTTTTCTATCGGTCTCTAATGTGGGTTGGTGTGTTTGTCTGTTGGTTGCTGATGGGGTGTCGGTCGGTGATGTTTGGTTGTTGTGTGCTTTCGTAAAGTGTCTTGTCAAATTGTCAAGTCGTGTAAATACTTTCCCACATGTTGTGCAGGGATGTCTTTGTCGTCCATGTGCAGAGTCTTGGTGCCTTGTCAAGTGATGTTTAAGGGTGAATACCCGCTCGCAGATCTCGCATGTGAAACGAGTCATGGCTGGGTGGCTGGTAGACTGGGCGGCTTCCATTATTGATGAAGTGTCTAGTAGTAGGATGCTTGGGTAGGTCGCTGGCTGTAGAATAAAAATAAATACATAAAATAAAAATCATAAAATAAAAAACATACTTAAAACAAAATTGAAAATTGAAACGTACCTCTGGGTTTGAACGTCTAAGCTGAACGTGTAGTTAACTGTATGTGGAGATCCGAAGTGGTGTAGTTGGATGTAGCTGGATCCTTTGGTTCAGTGGATGCCTCAGGGATGGGTAGGTAGCTCAATAGGGTCACTGGTTGTGTCGATGAGTCGGTTGTGCACTAAAAAGGAATACAGTTGCCTGCTTATTTAGATACATATTTATTTAAATGATATGTAAAGGATAATTCATACTATTAACCTTACCTCGGTGTACGATACAAAATTAAATTAATTAATTAAAAGGTATTTTAATAGGGTTAGCACCCTTAACACAAAAGTAATATTAACCTTACCTTTAATAGAATAAACACACACAAAAGAGGTGGTCCGTGGAGGGTTAGGTAGATGTGATGGTTGATAAAGCTGGCGTGGGTTAGTCTCAGGAGTCAAAAGAGGTCGCAGGTTGGATAAGTCGCGGTGAAGCTTGATTTGAAGTCCGAAGTCGAAGTGTTTAGAACACAATTTTCGCGGTCATTTATACGATTGCTCAGCGTAATTACACCACCAGCTGTCGCACAACAGCTGTTGCATAATGACCTAAGTGCTTCGCGGAAAGCCACTTAATGTACGTCGTTAATTACCATAACCCGTCAACCGAGCGGGGAAAAAAGCCATTAATCATCATGACCCGTCAAACCGAGCAGGGAAAAATCACTGATGCATAACGAAAAATGTAATTAGGTGGGACATCATGCTGTGATGGCCCGTGGGTGCGATCAATACTTTCCCATTAAAACGGGCAGCGGTGAGAAAACTTCGCGGGCGGGTCGATACGTAACACAGCTGTCGCCTGATCGTTATCTTTAATGGATGTTCTATTTTTGTAACGTTCGTTGTGTTGCTGAATGGTCCCTATACAAAGACTGTTCTAGTACATGCTAGTGTTAGTCTTTTATTTAAAACATACATACATTCAAATAAATAAACAACATTAAACAACAAAGAAAAGAAATATATCAAATAAATAAATTAAACAAAGTAATCAAAATCAAATTAATTAAATTAAATTCAAACTAATTATAAAATAAAATTAAAAATAAACAAAATAAAAATAATTAAAAAGTAAACAAATAATCAAATTACGTAACTCGTTAATAAAAATTACACAATATAAACAAATAAACAACAAGTAAACAAACAAAGTAAACAATTTAAAATCAAACAAATAATCAAATTACGTAACTCGTTAATAAAAATTAATTAAAATTACAAAATTAAATTCAAACTCATTAAAATCCAATTACGTAACTAGGTCAATAAAAATTAATTAAAAAGTAAACAAATAATCAAATTACGTAACTAGGTCAAAAATTAATTAAAAATTTAAAAAACTCATTAAAACTCATTAAAAAACGCATTAAAATTACGTAACTAGGTCAATGATTACATCACAAAGTCACTAATTACGTCACAAGGTCAATGATGACGTCACAAGGTCAATGATTACGTCACAAGGTCACCAAAAGGTGACCTACTTCCCCACCACCTCCGCCAACCCCAGTTGGCGTAGTATTTTACTATATGTCTTTGCGCATCCTGCGCATCCTGCTCACCCACCCTTACCCTCCCGATGCGCCAGGCTGGGAGTATTTTGCTATATGTCATTGCGCATCCCGCGCATCCTGCTCCCGAGTATTTTACTATATGTCATTGTTCCTCACCCTCCCCACCTCCGCCAAAAAATCGCTCCAAAAGGGACCTAATATACTACTAGTGTAGATTTTGAGTGTGTTTTAGGTGATCATTAAATTTGTATAAAGTATCACCATGTACCCTTGCTACATCGGCTATTGGTGTTTGCATCCAGAATACCAGAGGTGGCACAGAGAATAGCGACCTTCAGCTTTGGATACGCCGATGGCTACAACAGACTCTTGTCTTCACAGGGCGTACTGGTAGATATGAAAGGTAAACTTGTCTGTTGTGGTCAGATTGTCTTTCAAGGCTCTCTGTCCCCCCCCCCCCCCCTTACCCTCCTACCCCTGAAGAACGTCTACCGCCCCCGTCTCTGCCCCCCCCCCCCCTGGAAGAAATAAAATGTATATACAAAATATATTTGTTTATCCAATGTCCGCCCCCCCCCCTTAAAATATTTAGTTCACCCCCACCCCCTAAAAAGTTTGAAAGAAACACTGTTTGTGGTTACTATGTAACCTGTATTTTATTTTTTTATATTAAAGTATGTTGGCTAGTTCAAACCCTAAATCTCATCCTAAACGCAGTCTTCACTGGCGTCAATTTTTTTTTATTTTACGTTTGGGAGAGATGTATTTCCGATAGCTAACCACGCCATTGTATGTTGTATGTAACTTCCAACCTAACATAAGAAACTAAAATTTCTTAGGCACGCCCAAGTCAACGGTACTTTTTTCTTTACTTCCCTTTGCCCAATATCAACTTCCTATTAAAAGTTCTTATCACCTCCCCATGTTCACAAACCTGACTTGCTTGCAGGCCATGAGTACTCGGTGGTCGGCCGCGTTTCTATGGACGCCGTCACCGTAAACGTGGACGAGAAAGTCGACGAGTCCACCATCTTCTACGTCATCAAAAACGACTACAGCGCCCCCAACTCGGCGGGAAACATGGCCGCCATGTTGAATACGATTCCCTACGAGGTCGCCACAAGCCTGGCCCATCGTTTGCCGAGACTTTACTACCTGAAGAAAATGTATGTGTTCAGGGAGGAGTAGGCGAACATAGGATTGTACTAGGAAGAATAGTCTGGGATAGTGCAGGGCGAGTAGGCAAAGTCTGGGACTGAGCAGGGGAGGGGGGTGGAATGTGCAAAGTCTGAAATTGTGCAAGGGGAAGGGGGAGTAGGCAAAGTCTGGGATTGTGAGGAGGGGAAGTAAAAAAAAGTCTGGGGTTGTGATGGGGGAGAGAGATTAGGCAAAGTCTGGGATTGTATTGGGGAGATTAGGCAAAGTCTGTGATTGTACAGGGGAGATTAGGCAAAGTCTGGGATTGTACAGGGGAAGTAGGTAAAGTCTGGGATTGTACAGGCAAGTATGTAAAGTCTGGGATTGTACAGGGGAAGAAGGTAAAGTCTGGGATTGTACAGGCAAGTAGGTAAAGTCTGGGATTGTACAGGGGAAGTAGGTAAAGTCTGGGATTGTAAAGGGGAAGTAGGCAAAGTCTGGGATTGTACAGGCAAATAGGTAAAGTCTGGGATTGTACAGGGGAAGTAGGCAAAGTCTGTGATTGTACAGGGGAGAGTAGCCAAAATCTGGGATTGTATAGGGGAGAGTAGGAAAAGTCTGGGAATGTACAGGGGAGAGTAGGAAAAGTCTGTGATTGTACAGGGGAGAGTAGGCAAAGTCTGGGATTGTACAGGGGAGAGTAGGCAAAGTCTGTGATTGTATAGGGGAGAGTAGGCAAAGTCTGTGATTGTATAGGGGAGAGTAGGCAAAGTCTGGGATTGTACAGGGGAGAGTAGGCAAAGTCTGTGATTGTACAGAGGAGAGTAGGAAAAGTCTGTGATTGTATAGGGGAGAGTAGGCAAAGTCTGGGATTGTACAGGGAGGAGTAGGCAAAGTCTGGGATTGCTCAAGGGGGAAAACAGGCTTTTAGAGATTGTTTAACGAAGATTATGCCAAGTCAGGTATTGTTCAAGGAGGGATGTGGCGACTGGAAGATCTGATGGATGAATAAACTAAGTCTCGAACAGTTAGAGAGAAATAGGTTAAGTTTGGGACTGGACACCTAGGACGTTACTGGACAAAAGGTTTGCTACATGTATTTATGACGTCTGTGTATTTTTATGTACATGTTATTATACATCTTGCGGAAAAAATTTAAGTAAGTAGTAGCTCATGACTCATGATGTATTTATACCTTGGTTTTGTATTTATTATACCACGTTCAGTGTTCTTAGAGTTTATAATGAATTATATGTTGTAGGAATTTATTTTAAATCGTTAATTATAAATCATAACATGCGTCTAAACTCGTATAAATTATTTTGATAACTGTCACTATTTTCTTTTTTTTTTTTTATTTTTACTACAACTTATAACAAGCCCTAATACCGATAACTCTGTTTTCAATTTATTTATGTTTATTTTCTCCCTTAAGTAAGAATTGTTTTTTTCCCCCATTGAGTGCTAATCAGAATAATGTTTAAATGTACTTTAATATTTACAGTGACTTGTCGATCTGTTTGAATAGAGATAATGATTCATATTGGGGAAATAAATCTCAGATCTTAGTGGTTTGTGCGTCAGTTTGTAGATCTAGTTTCAGCGTATTTAATTTTAATGTGCATGGGCAAGTATACGCGTAGCTTTACTGCGCATGTTAACCTGTAGTTTCCAAATCTAATGCTGCTAAAATGAAAGTTAAATTATATATATATCAGGACTATTTCTGACTGATTGTGTAAGAGTTGGGATATCGAGAGGGATACATAAAAGTATTCAATATACCGGTGATATTATGAGTTATCTTTTTTTTTAGTTTGAAAATTGTATGTTACGTATAATTACGTTGTTGTTTTATATATTGATTATAATTCACTGCTTTTAGTGTTTTGTTAATTCTGTTTTGTATTTTTTTAAACTGATGTATTTATGGAATTGTTTTATAGTAATATTTGACAAGTAAATCAAAGGCAACATTGTTTAGTTTGATTTATTTTAATAATCACAATCATCTGACTGTATTTGAAGTTAACAATCAAATGCAGTATGTTTACCACATAGGACACACGCTGAAACATATATGTACTGACACTATCACGCACTGCTGCTGTACACACACACACACACACACCGAAACATATAAGTACTGACACTATCACACACATGCCGATGCAACATACACACACACGAACACATACATGTTGAAACTTTGACACACAGACTAAAAGTGACGCTTACATATTGCAACTTACATTGACACACTTAACTGTCACAGACACTACAACTTTCACCTGCACATAACTGACACACATAACGCCAAAACATTTACACACATGAATTATGTGTGAAAAAAAAACACTGAAATTCACACATAAACTTTGAAATTGACACATAAAGACCTACACAACAGCTTACATACAGACATACTAACACTGGCACGTACACAAACTGGGAAACTGACATACACACCACTATAGCTTACATTGACACAGACGCACTGAAAATGACATACGCCGTAACATACACTAAATATAGCATACACACTGCAGTTTACATTAATACAGACACACTCACATACATGCACACGCAAGAATGTAATTAATTTTGACACTTCTTCACATACCTACCATTTACACCTATCACACCGACACGTATTAAATAAACCCCACCTACACAACCTCACCTATGTGTACCTGTCTGACACCTGCAGTCCACACACCAACATGACAGAGGTCGGTGCCGCCACATACGTGCCGTGTTCCAGCGCCTAAACCTACTTCGTTACCATCAGAACTTCAACAACACACACTCTTGAGTATGTCCTAGACCAGGCCTCATAAACACGGACACAGGTAATCAAATTCAGGCTCTCTCGACGGTTTCCCGGCGACCACCAGCACCACAAGACCGACGCCTGGTTTCACAGTTCTAGACAACTGTACAGGTCAACCAGTCACGTGACTCCGGTGGTCCCCAGGGAGCACCGCACCCACCCCTAAGCACCTTCGTTAAAAGGTTATGGCGGGGTTGCTGCGGGCACGGCGTCCCTGGTTACCGGGAATATTCAGAGTTACGGTCCGTTTGTTTATCTTTAAACGGCCGCGCTCGAACACTCCAGAGTTTGTTTCCAGAACACGAACATTCTAGAAGGTAACGAAGTAAGCTTTAGAGTTGGGAACATGGCTTACGCAGTGACAGCACCTGCCTCCAGTCAACAAACATGGCTGAGCTGGCCGCTAGGTGGCAGACACAACACTGCTGCTGTATGACTTGGGCTAGCCTGCGGTTTCTTATTTATACTGGCTCGTGACGGGATTCCCTTACTAAGTTTCTAAAAATAGAATGAACACATTTTTCTCATTGGTTGGGCGCATCGAAGGTTAACTACGTGAAGAATGTTACTGGGAGTTAGGTAAACAGTGGTTCTAAATCGGTTGCCTGTATTACTTGTTAATTTCTGGGCTGTTTTAACGCATCTGATAGGCCATATGCCCTTGCCTCGGGTCTCATAACCACTCAGAGGCGTAGCGACCCTTCCCGGCGCCCGGGGACAAACTTTCAGTTTGGAGCAAATTTTCAATTTGCACCCCCCCCCCCCCCACCATTCAACTTTTCGATTTGCACCCCCCCCCCCTCAAACTTTCGATTTGCAACCCCCCCCCCCTCAAACTACAAAAAATGCAGCTAAATTGACATTTTAATTTGTTTTTACAACCCATTTTGGCGCCCCCTTAGGTCGGCGCCAGGGGACATATGTCCCCCCCCCCCTTTGCTACGCCTCTGTAACCACTACAAATATTATAAATGTAAAGTATCCGCTGAACCTGATTTTTTTATTGATATATTTTAGGTCAATTTTGTTGAAAGAAGGTAAAACAAATATAGGTCTCTGTTTGATTTTATTGATCAGTGAAGTTGTATTGATCTGAAAAGGTCCAAATGTCGTGGAGAGGGGGCCCAAATATTAGCCTTACCCTGTCCCATTGTACTGCAGTGAAGAGCTTATGATTGATCTCACACGAATTGATTTTTACGACTGATTTGCGAATTGCGATTTGTACAGCTAAAGAAAACGAATTTGACCAAACATGGAACTACATACTTAATGTAAAAAAAAAAACAAAAAAAATAGATTCTGTGTTAAAGGGCTATGGTTAGTGTTAGGGTTACGACTGAGGTTAAGTTAGATTTATGGCGAGGGTTTTCTAGGGCCATATGTATTGTACGTCTAGGGTGAATGTTCCAACTTTTCTTTCAGACTTTCTGGTGGGGGGGTGGCTTGAAATTTTCGGGGGCGGACTAACTTTTCCGGGGGGGAGCGGTGGAGGATACAGGTAAAAGTATAGTTCTGTATACATTCTATTTCGTTCGGGGGGGGGGGGGGGCTACACGTTCTTCGGGGTGGATGCCTCAAAGAAACTGGACAGTTCAGGTTTTGACCGTCATCCTTGCTTTTCTTTGAACACATCTGGTGCTGTTGCCTTGGTGTCTTTGTGGTCTGAATTCTGGTTAGTATTGTAGTTGTACGCGTGCTAACATAGAGTTATACGCCAGTCTATATTTGCGGTACTCCTTGTTTTGTTAGAGCGATTAAATTACCCTATGTGTCTCAAATTACGACATTTTCTGGAGGAATTTAATCTATTTATAGAATGACTTTTAAATAATTTAATTTTTTCTCAACACTTGCAAAATTACACTTTTAATTTCTAGACATGTTAATAGAGTTTACAGAAATTATTAAACCCCTACATCAATTACTTTTTAGCTTTTGTAGACTTCATAAGACCAAAAGAGACTAAGAAAAAGTAGCATTCCTCTTTAGACCTAGCGATCCATTGGACAGATGAAGTAGAGTTTATAAATGTTTCTTGACTTCGCACATGAAGAGATAATGTGGTCAGCACTATGCCCAGCCGCCTTTACTTTCCCTAACGTTATTTAGGTACCCATTAGAGCTGGGTGGTCTCAGGGACATTCCACTGACTTGAACCTGGATTCGAACTCGAGACTTTCGGGTCAGCAGTCGTTCGGGTTAGCAGTATTATGTTCTACCATTCGACTACTCCACGTCTGTTGTCTATATATGGCCAACTAAATCTGCTGATGACGCAGGTTAAAATCAACTATCAGGAAAACCACTGTGTAGTAGGTTAGTAGAACAGGGGTGTGTTGTGTGATTGATTATGTACTAGGGCCTACTAGTGGCTGTTGTAGGCCCCTATGGCGTGTGTTGACAGTTGACACGGTGGGCGTGTTTGCTGTACGTTTTATTGTACTAAAAATAAGCTTACGCGCAGGTGTGCAGTTTGATTAACGTTATAAATTAACCAAATAATTAGGTTATTTGTCCTAGACCAACGTTGCAGCGTGTATTTTTTTTCTTCACAGTCCATTGCTTCAGTATAAAGACCTTGCCATTCGCGTGGTCTTTCTTGAATTACTCTTTAAGTCTCTGATGGAATGAAGCACTGAGAACTGTAACATGTGTCGACCAGGATCGTTACTTTTGACATCTTTTGAGCAGCTTTTGACATCATAGTATACTATAGATCCACGGGAAGAATAGACAACATTGTTTCCTTTGCTTAAATCAACCAGTTTAGGCCCTATAAGTTTATTTTTCTTAACACACCAAATTTAGCGCTTTGGTTTGAAGTAAGATCGCTTCCCACATTTCACATGAACAATATCTATATATATAATTCTCTTCTGGGAGCCGTTAGAAAACAAGCTGCAAGCGCCTCCTTGCAGTCCCCTCTCTTTCTCTCTATCACTATAACTACCACCCCCACCCCACCCCCACATTGTCTGGTGAGCTGTGGTCACGCTAAATGTTTACAAAGCTAAATGTTTACAAATAGTAGAGCCGTAGAGCCGGGTTTCTATTAGGGGCAGATAATTTAGTTCGATTTTAAACTTACAGGAGGTAACTAAGAAATAACTAAGAGGAGGCGGCTTTCACGGGGGGGGGGTGTAGGGTCGGGGTTAGGGGAAATGGGGGGGGGGGGGGTTAGTGTTTTAAAACAAATATTTTCAGTGGCAGCATTGGTACTGTCGAATTCACAAATTATGAATTACTGAAAAGTAGAAAATAAAACAACTAAATAGCGGCGTATGATACGCTGCGGGTCGGCTCGTTAATAATAAAGATTAAATCCTACTTGTTTTATTTTCCTGCCAATTTTTTCTTTTTGTTTATATTCTTGAAGTTGTATGTTCAAGTATGTTTAATGTCTCGAGCTTCTTAGAATACCACAGAAAAACTGCCTCACTGGGGCGCCCATATTTCTTTTAACACCACATTTACACTCGCGACGTGTATACCAGATCTATACACGTCTAGAAAAAACTTCACCGTAAGTTAATATTATCAGATAATGTATAAGGGGCGAGGGTGACTACTCACTCATTGCGAAATTGTTTTTTTTCCTAGACATGTAATGTATAGTATAGGCCCACATGTCGCAAGTGTACATGCGGTGTAAGACTACGATGTAACCAGTGTAAGTCTACCCAGTTTAACCAGCACCTGTTCGCTGTAACTACAACACCCATCGCGTCTTTAGTTAATGAATTAAAATAATTAGTCATGTGACTATGAACTATGAAACTATCCAAACAATTAGAGGCTTTTGAAATAAACTTCACATTTGTTTACTACAACATCATGAAAGTAATGAAAACCTCTAAAATGTGGGCGTCAATGGGTCGATGAAAAGATATGCTTTTTTGCTTTGATCACGTCTTACAAAGTAATCGTACGGCCAGTTCAAACCCATCAGCTTGCCTGAGTCCGGTAAACTCTTTTCTTCGTGGATTAGGAGAACGAGCTCCAGACTTAGAAGTCAGTAAACGTTAGCTATGGTTAGATCGAGCTGGCATTGGACGCCTAGGTAGAATCATTTCTATAGTGCATGAAGTTCTTTTTCAATCCAACACCACCAAACGCATTAGACCCCCTACGTACGTCAATGTCCTGGACGCAACGTAAATACAACAACTGTAAAGTGTTGACAAATTTAACAGAATCATATCAATACAATTCATGAAGTTTATTGATTTCAAATTTAATGTACAAATTAGTTGATTTTGAAGAGACCCGTACATTATTTGTTAACAACAACAACAAAATCAATTAAGAGTTAAAACAACGAGTGGTAGGCCAACTGGAATAAAAAACGTCATAAAACATTATAAATTGTGAAACAACGTATACAATTTAATTCAGAGTTCAATGATTGAGATCACGATAAACCAACAACTTCTGACTTGCGTTTTTTTCCCCTTCTCTCTCTCTGTGTGCTTACTGCTGTAGTATGTGCTCTGTAAAAATAAATCTGTTCTGTGCATGTTAGCTTTGCCTGATAATCTTATCCATATATTTTATTTTATGACATAGGTAATTTAATCTTTTGAGGTGGCTCTATAGAAACCAGTTATAGGTCGTGTATACGATTGTAGCTTATATCTGGCGAGGCAACAAGTGCCTTTTATTGTTAAAGCATATAACGTTATAAAACGGCAATAAAACAGTGATGTACATATTTACATATCCAGCCAGTGTTGTCTCCCTTTCTCAGCTCAGTACTGTCTTCTGGAATGCAGGTGCTGTCTATGTGCAAAAAATGACACCCAGCAATCCACATGCTTACATTTGTTACCTTCTGGTCACAAGACACGCAAACAAGCAGACGAACAGTCTAGAAAGTGAAGCTACTTCAATTGTGTTTACTCGATCTCAATCCACTCACTACTACATTTACTAGGCCCTGCATAACATTGGAGATAATCATAGTAGGAAGAACCTGTTAACTTGTAAGAATGATCTCTACCATAAATCATACGCAATAATTATTATTAACACTCACGAAATTAGTTATATCTAAGGAGGTAGACTCGAGATACAGAAATCTAGCTAGAATTCAGAAATAAATCATAACTCTTTTTCTACGAGAGTTATATAGATCTAGCCTAGATATTTTTGCTAAAAGTTAGTAAAATATGCACGAATATAAAACAGTAATCCTACCCTACTACTAAACAGTCTGTTTACTAATTTAATACTATACTTTGCCAATATGGTAAACAAATTATGAATATTCTACAATCACATCACATATCTGTAATCTGTAGCGAGTTCCCGGCACCACCAATGACCACAGAATTGACCCCTGAAATTGCGAAACGCACAGGAGCTAGCCAATCACGTGATCTCGGTGGTCTCTCGGGAGCTACCGCACCCACCCCTTAGCACCTTGTTCAAAGGTAATGGCGGGGTTGCTATGGGCACGGCGTCCCTCGAAACCGGGAATATTCAGAGTTATTGGCCCGTTCATTTACTGATAGAACGGCCAGACCCGAACACTCCAGTTTGTTTCCAGAACACGAACATTCCAGAAGGTAACGAAGTAAGCATTTGACATGAGGGGTTATATTTTACACAGTGACAACACCCACTTCCAGTCCACAAGAAATACCATCCTGAGGACTGAGAGCGGGAGCGGACAACACAACAGCTGATGTTGCCCTGGCACATATAAACAATGGCGGCTTCGACTCTTCCTTTTATACCAGTCAACTACAGACATGACTAAGTTTCTAAAAATAGCACTCGTTTCCGATTGGTTGATCTGCTGCTGGTTAACCATAACTGTTGAGTAATTTTTGCAGTTTCGAAGCCAAAATTTAGCCTACGAGTTATTTAAAATATTTAATTTTTTTTTTGCAAATTTCATTGTTACGTAAGAACCCAGCTTAAAAAAAATATTATTTAGCATACTAATAATATAGTATGGTGGTTTAACAATGAAAAAAAAAACCCTTTTTCTTTTACGTCAACATAGACAGTTGGCGGAGGGCTGCAAGAAACTGCATTCATGTTTTTAAAAATACAATTAAATAGGCTAAGAGTAGTATCGACTTTTTCTAGAGTTTGTTTGAATAAAATTACAACAGATATAGATCTAGTAATAAGCGAGTGACGAGGGCAGCTAAAAATGAGGTATTAACCCCATGTGGCCTTACCGCTTATCATAATGCGGCGTACTTTGGCCCTAAGTAGATCTATAAGTAGTATAAGCCCTAAAGAAAATATGTTATTTAATTTTTTCTTTAAAGTAAAAAAAAACCACTCATTTTAAGCTTGTTATTTCTCGACATATTATAGATCTAGCTATTAATTTGAATAATTAAGAACAAACATTTTCGTAAATTAAATTTAAAAAAAAAACTGTTGGCCTAGCTCATAAATTATTAAAACAAAATTATAATAGAATATTGACATTACATAATTTAATGTGCGATTAGAAATATAATAATATGTTTTGTAAATAGGTCTGTTATATTGTCCAGGACATTGACGTACGTAGGGGTCCATGCTAGACAAAATGGGAGGGGAATGGTAAACAAATATGTGGACGTCATACAATGTGTATACAATGACATTTAGTTCCATTTATTCTTTGCTTCATGTCTAAAGTCGATATGGGGATTGCTTTTGTGAAGTTTGATTAAGTAAAAAACCAAAAGTGAATGATTGTGCTATTATACGGTGTCTACGTGTTTAGTTTCAATGACCCTGATAAAAGAATATATCTAGACCATATTGAACTTTGTACTGTACAAACGTTTTTTATGATAACCTTTGGACTTGAAAGATAAATGGTTTATAATAAATGATATCACATAAACGTAAAAAAAAAAAAAGCTATTCAAAGCAGTATGCTGTTGCAGTGTATGTGTAATCGGTTGTGGGCAGAGAAGTTGTTGAAATACAAACATTAAATAATGACCAATTTAGACAGTCTCATCCCTCATGTATCACTAATCATCATCTTGTCCAAGACACATGGGGCAGATGAAGTAGAGTTAATCTGTTTCAATTACCTCGACATACAAAGGGATAGTGTGATTGACACTATGCCCTACTACGTTTGTTTCACATCAGAACTGGGTGGACGTTTTACAAACTTAAGCCCAGTGAAGACGTTTGGGTTAGAAGCCAGAAGCTCAAAGTATCACTAATGATCAACACTTATACTTAATTGAACAGTCAACATTTGTATGATCATCACACAATACATAATAACAAACACTTTAATTAATAAAATAATAGTTTATTGAGTCATTTTTTTCCCAAGAAAGGAAACAAAAAAACAGCAACATTAGGCATTTTTTTGACACTAAATCACCAACTAACTAAAAAAACACAGTTTATCAAATCTATCTGTCATGTCTTACACACTCTGCATAGTTTCACACTTAAAAAAATACAAATCCCAAAAGCTCACAAAAATCATTTACTGAAAGTACATTGTTGCTCATCATTGATACACTGATGTATCATCACACAGGAGTTTATCAACTGATGTATCATTACACTGGCAGTTTAGAGTATAACTAAGATGCAAATAGAACAATATCACAAACTCAACATTTGTAATGCTACTCTTACTCCTAAGTAGGAAAAATATATTTTAAATAATTTAGCAGTAGCTGTATGTATCACACAATTACTTAACATAAAACCATAATATTAAACCTCAATATTTTTGAAAGAACTATATTGTACACTAAATTATCTCAATATGTAAACACCACTGCCAAGAATTGTTTTAGCCAAAGTAAATGTAATAAACAGTATTTTATAAACAGATAATTGTTACATCTCTCTAACAAGTGTGACAAACAGCTGTAATTCTTTTCTTGGTTAATAGTTACAAATTATGTAACTCCCAGTTAGAGATGTTACAGCCATGATTAATCCAGTATGTCATCATGAAAACTTTAACTAAAAATATTCTTAAATAATTGCATAGAAAAACAGGCTTTATTAATGTTTTTTTTTACTCATTTGTCTAATTAATTAAACTGAGAGGAATAGGGACAACAAAGGCAACTAACAAATATACAGAAAAATTTGGTAATCCTTTACACTGGAACTATCTACTGTGAGTAATATACTCAATACATATGTACTGTATATCAACACTAAATTACATCTCTTTAAATCAAAGCACTAGGATGGCAATGTCCTGCATATGTCTTGTTCATTCATACAACCGACGCAGAGAATTATTTCTTGTCATATTTGTAAAATCCTTCTCCTGTTTTCATTCCCAGTTTGTTTTCAGAGACCAGTTTGTTCAGAGCTTGTGATGGCTTAAATAGGGGATTATCAGGTTCTTTTTGTGCCCAGCCTATAAGAATAGACACAAATTATGGTGAAACAAATCTTCATGTAAATTGAATAGTTAACTTTTAGGAAGGTATCAAAAAGTAAAAAACTATTTTTAAAACTTTTACCATTAAAACAATTTAATGTAAGCATAAAATTATATAATTATGTCTTGAATTTAATATAAAAATTTTTTTATCTAAATTATAAAAATTAATCAGAAATAGCAACAAATATATTCCTTGAATAGCTTTTTAATCTGAAAACAAACCTTACCATCAATAATAAACTTAGTTGTATCAAGACCGACATAATCTAAAAGTTCAAATGGCCCCATGGGATAGCCAGCACCAAGCTTCATTGCTGTGTCGACATCCCTGGGGGTGGCATCACCTGGAAGACACCAGAGAATAATCAATTAATAAAAAACATAAGCAAATTTATACTTCTTTTACTGAGTTCTTATGTAATGTAATGTTGGACAGGATTTCCTGCAACAGAATTAAGTATTACATGTCAACATATGCGCCATTTAGGCCTATGACTCGGATTTGAGCCTGCTTTTCTTTTTGGATTTGCTTCTTTAGCCTTCGTCCAAGGCAGCAGTTGTTTGATTTTGGAGTTTTCTCTCCTAGCTGTCCCAAGCTTTCAAGCCTCATCTACCTGGGGGTTTGAACTCAGGACTTTTCGTTGTAGCAATCGCTGTCTTTACCGACACAACTACTCAGACCCCACAATCAAATAACTCTCTAGGGTTTGAAACATTACCTCTTTCAACAAGTCTGACTGCCTCAGCCATGTACGGGACCAATAGACGGTTGACAATAAAGCCTGGGGTATCCTAAGATAGGATAGAGAAATTAAGTTGAATGAACTGATGAGCAAATATAATGAAACCTCATGTATTTTAAGAAGGTGTATAAATTAACTTAAGTGATTACATAAAACACCAGAATAGATATACAGTTTTGTATCAAGATTTAACAGCTGATATCACATTCAGGACTAGAGGAGAGATAACTATAAAAAAAAATTGATTCAATATAACTTTTAGGACTTGTGTAAATATTGTGATTATTATTGTTACAATGTTTGCCAGTACCAACCCCTAGAACATGCCATTGCATTAAGTTTGCCACTATATTTTGCACATTTTACGAATATCACCCATCCATAAAATCGTAATTTATTCATATATTATAATTAAATCAAAGCCAGAGACATTTTTTAGCCAATCAAAATAAACTAAGGGAACTAAATCTGCAAACCTTGCACTGCACAGTTGTCTTGCCTAAAGCTTTACCAAAAGCTTCCAATGCATTGTAGGTTTCATCTGATGTTTCTGGGATTCTAATTACCTGAAAAAAGATCAATAGTAAATATATTTCTTTCAAATACTTAAAATGTTACCCAAAAAGCTGCTGAAATGTATGTTTTATCAGTAAAAAAAGTTATATCTAACCTTATTGAATTAGCTTTAATTATGAATGTGTGGCACAACAAAATTTAATTGCAAAAATGCTACTAGATTTTTACCTCCAACAGCTTCATCAGAGGAACAGGGTTAAAAAAATGTAACCCTCCAAATTTATCTTTCCTAGAAGTAGCTTCTGCAATTTCCTTGATGGGGATCGAAGACGTGTTGCTAGCAAATAGCGTGTTCCTGAAAACATTAATAAAAGCCAATTTGTAACAAAACTTTGCAGTTTATAAAAGCACTTTTCAGATGGAAGCTAAGGTGTAGCATTAAAACTTACGGAGGAGCTGCTTTGTCTAGTGTTGCAAACAACTCTTTTTTGACGCCTAAATTTTCAACAATGGCTTCGATAACAAGATCTGTAGATTTGACGGAGGCAACAGCATCTGTTGATAGGCTCAACCGCTCCATGACATCAGAGATGTATTTCTGTTGAGCCTATTAGATAAGTTTATCACAAAATTTTAGCACATGATAAGGCCATCATGATACAAGATATTACAAATTAATTTTTTTTTTATTTTGACATATTATTTAATGTTCCCTGTTCTATGCATGTTTAAAAATCATGCATGTGAAAGGATAGTGTGGTAAGCACTATATCCAGCTGCCTTTTATTTTCCTTAACATGAATCAGGTACCCACCATAGCTGGGTGGGACATCTTAGGGACTAAAGCATGGGATCAGAACTCGAAACTTTTGAGTTAGCAGTATTCTGCTCTCCCACATGGCCACACTGTCCCTTGCAACAATGTATAGATTTATGTATTTGCCAAGTTCAGCTGAAGTTTTATTTATTATAATAATCATGAGAAATTTTAAAATTTAAAATGCTGATTCTTAAAACAATGTCAGCAGCACAGTAACAATACATTATCATTACAGGGTTAGAACAAGGGTAAGGGATAAGGAAACTGTATTAGCAAACATTCGACAATTTTAATGAGTAAAAATTTCACAAACTAGCTGGAAAAAAAGATGTGCTGAAAATATCCTGACTCAACTTAAAGTTGATTAAAACAAAATATATTACCAACCTTTGGATCATCAGGAAACTTTTTCTTCACAATGCGCCCAAGGCTCTTTTGAATAGAAGCTGAAGCTTTATCAATGATTTCTTGGTTTTTGTCTACAACTATAACTTTGTGTCCACTTGCAGCAGCAACCTACAAGCATTACATACATTATTACACCCCTTACCAATATTCTACTCTAATCATTACTTCTGACACTAACGCTAAACCTAATTATGAATAATTAACAGGGCCTACTCTGAATAAAATTAATTAATTAGGCCTAACAGGGAATAAATAGTAGGCTTACTAATCTGAATCAGCAAATTTTAATAAACTAGGCTATATTTTCTAAAAATATTTATATTCGGATTAATTAGTACTAGTAACTAGCAGGTATAAGTAGGGCCTAGCCCTATCAATCAAGCTTCAAACCCCGGGATTAGCACGATCAGAATACAGTGCCTTTTGACATTTTATATTGTATAGCCGACTAGTTATATATAATTATTTAAAAAATAATTATTATTTGGCCGATGCTAGCCAGAATAAGATATGCATGCGCAATGGAAAGAAACTACGACTTGCCATCGCGGCAATGCTTTCGATGGTATTGCGCATGCATGTGTTTACAACCGCAGAACCCTAACACCAACCCTAATCCTATCCCTATCCATAATGCTATCCCTAACCCTAACTTTAACCCTAGCCCTAATCCTATCCCTAACCCTATCCATAACCCTAATCCTATCCCTCATTCTAGCCCTAACCCTAGCCATACGTCCCTGCGCATGCGCAGAGCTATCTTTTGCCGACTAAGTGGAGACGTTGGGGAGAAAAATCTTCTTCCGAGTAGTCACTTCGTAATTATTTATATACTAAATATTAGCGATACTCATTAAATTTTAATTACTTAATAAATTTAGGCCTATAGCCTAAAAATGAAATCCTAAAAGTACTACAAGTACTACAAGTCGTAACTACACATACAACATTCTTTCTTGATCTAAGCCTACAATTAACTACAAAATTTAAAGTTAAATATAAATGTCACTAGTACTAGATTCTAGTAATGTAATTGTAGTTGTATGTCTACTTTTTACTTAGGCCTAAACTAAGCCTAACAACTAACTACTTAAAACTTAACTATTACAACTATTAGTTAACTTACCTGCGCAATGCCAGATCCCATCAGCCCACTACCAATGATAGTTACTGTTTTAATGGGATTAAAGTGAGAAGAAGACGTGGACAGTGTTCTGGTAAACGCCTTAGTAGCAAAAGCCATTTTTAGAGCCCTAAAGAAGTCTACACCAAGAGCAAAGTTTGAAGTGAGACGACAGAACACGAAATGATAACAACCAGAACGTGATTTGGACTTAGTACTTGTAGTTGTTTTCCTAAGAGGTTAAATTGGGGGGGTGAGATGTTCTAATATTTTTAAATGGTTTAAAATAATTGTCAATATTTCGAAATTTAAACAAAAATTTTATTATCATTGCAAATATTTATAGTAATTATTCCTGCAAAATACAAGCTATTTTATATTTAATATATTTAAAATTTGAAATTATTTCTAAACCAGGTATTTTAAAATTTTAAGGTTTAACCAACATTAGCGTTTCCGCTTCCTTTTAGAAATTTAACAGTGAGTAAAGGTAATGATATAAATTATACCAAAGTAAATCTAATATAATCGTCAAGTTACTGTAATTTTAAATAATTTAAGAGTGTAACAAAATGTTAGTTATACACTTGTTTGTGTTCATTTGTAAAATTTGTGCATTACAAATGACAACAATCCTATTTAATTTAAATCGAAAGTATGGGTCCCATAGCAACATTCTTTCTATAATCCATATTCAAGCTACAAAAAGATTTACGTAGAGCTAACGAAGAATACCCTCAAATTCAACTACTATGCTTCTAAAAGTTTTGTTAGAACTATTTTATATTTGCCTAGTAGATCTAGATCTAGCTTGAATCTATTATGAGTTTTGAGACAATCGATGAGCTTGGTGAGTGTTGATGAAATTCAGCTAGAATTCTAGATCTAGGTTTTATTTTTGACAGCCCTGCACTTTGCAATTTCTTGAGTAGTGCAAGGTGTTATCAACATCACAACCATAATTTCCACATCCATAGGACAAAAACCACATTTAAATTTTAAGTAGCCTCTTTTCTTATTTGGTTTTGTATTATTTCAGATGGTTCAGCGTCTCACTTTCAGAAGACGTTTGTCTTACAACACCAACTCCAATCGCAGAAAGGTGTAAGTGATCTTTTTTCAACTTAATGTAATATTTAATGGCACTACATTCATTTATATCTTTTTGTATTAGTCCATTTTTAGGTACCCCCTGTAAAATTTCCAATCTCTTTTTAGATCCAAGACACCTGGTGGTAAACTAGTTTATTTGTATCAGAAGAAACTCCCCAAGACACCAGTATGTGGAGACTACAAGACCAAGCTGAGAGGGGTAAGTAGACTGGCTTCTCTATTATACAAAATGTTGCAGCTGAGCTGAAATATTGGCATTTCTATTTGTTTTTTAAGTATTACTCGCAAACCTGGAGGTGGTGCCCGTTGCTAACACTGGACGCATGACTTTTGACGCTTTTTCATCTTCATTCCAGTGATTTGAGAATTACATTTATAAATAATCACTAAAACAAAATGACAGGATCTTCATGTTTAAAAAAATCAAACTGTGGGTCGCAGAACTATATGTGCCAGAAAAGCGTTTGAATATTTGCTTTGAAGAATGAAGGCTAAATTTAATATTCTGATCACTAGTGAGGAACTCTTTGTGCCTAGCCAGTTAAGCCAATCCCAATTCTTGACTAGCTGTGGCTTAAAACATAAGAGTGATGCTAAAACTTAAAATTAGTGCTTGGTGGACAATATTTGTCTATTCAGTGGTCATGTTTAATTTTTAAGCTTTAGATATTAGTGAGTAAATGTAATATATTGGCTTATCAGCAACACCTATTGTTCCGCTAAGCAGCCATTTCGCTTTTGTAAAAGTTTGTTCAGCTTTATTTTAAAACAGAAAGAAAAAGTAGAATTGTAATAAAATGGGGGAGTAACAGTATTATTTTTTGTTGCTTTTCACTTTCCATGTTATTTATAAAGTGGAAATTTTCAGCTGCTGGGGCTTCAAACATGAACGCATTATTCTAAAGTAGGGGGCCTAATGTAACTGATATTGTAATATTGAAACAGAAACTAGTTCCAGTGACGTAGTATTTGAAGGTGCATTGTTTGCTTTTTTCTTGGCATATTCAACATTGACACTTATTGTTGTTTAGACCTATATAATCATTAAATATAGTAGTTTTTCTATTCTGTCTGTTGGGAACGCTTTAGAGAGAATACAAATGAATTTGAAAGATGCATAGTGAAAGACCATGGCATCACATAGGAAGCTTTCTAAACGAATCTTTAATATAAGCGGGCTGTGGTGTGTCAGTCCTTCCTTCCTTCCGTCATCCCTATAGATTTTGGAACCATAAAAGTAAACATCACACCATGTGCATCGCATTGTCTTATTATAAGAAGTAGAGTAGGGTTTGTTTATATAACGACATAGAGCTATTTTATAATTTCCACTGTTTGTACGATTTTGCATAACGTAAAGAGAATATTAAATACACGCACTTGCTAAAAAATATTAAAAGGATCAATGTCAAATATCGTTTTCGTTAATATTCCTAGAAATAGTGGATACATTTTAATAACATAATAACTGTAGGTTAGAAAAATCTAATTGAATTGTATAGTAATTTTGCCAAGGGAGGTATTTTAAAAATAAATTGAACTCATGCTAAAAATGTGAATGCAGAATCTGCAAGACGGTATAATTGTTGGAATAATTTAATTAGCAAAATGTGAATGCAAATTATGCAGACGTGTAAGAGTACATTATTGTTGGAATATTATAATTAACATTGATTGATAAAAGGCTATCTTTTATTTTATTCACTGAATGTAATGTTTACTACTTATAATTTTTTATCAACTATTAAGCACTATTATAGACGCGTCATCACGTTCATTTGGTGCGCAATGGTTTTAGTTATGAAACTCTATTGTAATTTTTAAAATTTAAAGTACTGGGACAAAAAATGCGCGAATTATAATAAAGTGATATATGGTAGGTAAAACACGGATATTTTAAATACTGCTGGGGGTTTTATAGGAGATGCGTAGAGGGGGGGGGGGGGGGCATTTGTCCCCGGTTGCCGACCTAAGTGGGCGCCAAAGTGGGTTGGGAAAAATTTGTGGGGGGTGGTGGAAATCGAAAGTTTGAGGGGGGTGCAAATCAACAAATTGAGCGGGGGGTGCATATCGTAAGATTTTCCCCGGGCGCCGGAAAGAGTCGCTACGCCTCTGTTTTATAGTCATTCGCTATGTCAGACGCGTCCGGCGGCGCTCGGAAAGGGCGCGATTTGGCGCTACGGTCTAGACTGTGAGCAATATGCCTTTATGATTGCATTTAAATTGTGTTTAAGTTATGTGTGTTATGTTTGTTTTTTCGTTTTTTTTTTTTTTTTGCGTTCTTTTGTGTTGTGTTAAGTTTTGTTCTGTTCCCAAGTTGGTACATTTAAAAAAGATTTACCGTGGCGGAGCACGGGATGCAGCTAGTGTAGTTATAAAGCCTGAAAAGTACACACAATAAATGAGGTCATTGGTTCTAGAGTTAACAGAATTAAAAAGCCTTTGCTGAAACAAATGCACAAAGTCGCTAACACAGGGGTGCCACTCATTTTTAAAGTGAATCCTGAAAATGAATCACAAAATTTTACCAATCCTGAAACTAAAATTTGAAATTTTTGAAACCCTGAAACTTAATTCCGCGCGGAATTCAAAATAAAATGGACTATTATTTCATTATTTTTTGAGACATTTGATTCATATTATGTTCAATTTACATTCCTTTAAAATGGATTTATTTTCTTTGTAACAAGCTTCAAATAAAAATTAATCTTTAAAGGATTGTGCTTACAACAAAATTAGTTTACAATGTTAGTCCCATATCTAGGCCTACCCCATAATGTGCTATTGTAGAACTCCCCCCCCCCCCCCCCCCCCCAGCCAGCTTTTATAACATAACTATTTAATTTTTTAGAACTTCCTAGCTTGAGTTAAAGTGTGTGTTTAGTCAGCCAACTGTTAAGTAACAAATATTTTGCTAACCTCTATGTCTTGTTATTGAATAATAAGCCCACTATATGCAGACCCCTAATAAGATTGTCACTGTATTAAAATACAGGGTTGACTTACTGTAGCTATTCAAGGCTTTAATTATTAACAGCCAGAACAAAAACCTAAAACCCTGTTTTCCCAATCAACACCAATGGGGTCATCCATAAATGATATTGATGTCACGCTTTTTTGACGATTTTTACCTCCCACCTCCCCTCGGTCACATATCGTCACAAAAAGCCAGATCCCGCCCTCTAAAATGACGTCACACCTCAGCCTACCCCCCCCCCCCCCCTAAAAATTGCAGTCGAATTTTTCTTAAAATACGATATTTTTCCAAAAATCTTGTCTGACCTGTCAACATAGAGTATTTTAATCAATTCCTATTACACTTTATTGAAACAATTTTCTAAAATTCGTTTTCTAACATAGCTTTTGGATAATGCAAAAGTGTGATGTCACACCATCTGAACCCCTCCCCCTCATGACATAATTACGGACCCCCCTCCCCCTACGAGTGTGACGTCATTAATGAACGACCCCAATGCCCCCACCTTTGATATACATGATGCCGTGAAGAAATATTGTGGAAGTTTTAAGTTCATATCGCGGAATAACATAATTAAGTTAATTTTAAAAATAATTTTAGAAGTAACTACGCTTGTAATACTCATGTCAGAGATGTAGCCGCCCGACTAAGTGAAAAGCTGATTTTTTTTACAAGCGGTTGGGAGGGGGCAGTGATAGCGGCTATTTTCTCAGACATGGTACTTCAAAGTTTTTTAAACATTTCAATGACGTTTTACCAAAGTAAAAAAAAAACCATTAGATGTAGACCCTGCTAGATTGTGTAACTAAATTATAGCAGGCCTACATATTTTGTTTAATGATATAAAACGATGCAGTTCTAGTCAGCGCGACCTTGAAGAAGCGGGTAAGACATGGTAAAAAGTGACGGTAAAGTTGAGTGAAAACAGCAGTTCTATTTCATACATAAAATAGTTCTTCAAATTGTTTTTTTCTTTTCTTTTGGTAATACCAAATACAAAAAAAAAATGTTTTTTTTTTTTATCGGAGCAAAATCTTTCGGTTGTTTTTTTTAAAAAGACGATCGGCGATGCTAGTGAGCTAGATCTAGATCTTGTAGGATTTAGTTGTTTTTATTACACAGCCTAGCGCTTTCCCATTGATGACATCACGTAAAAATTGCGAGTTTTACCCCCAACCCATATCGTCATAAATAGCCAGACAACCACACCACGACTGACATCAAAAAGTTTCGTCTACAGCCTCGCCCATCTGATACAGCCCATTTGTATTTGGTCAGCCGATCATACACTATTCTCAACGACACTGTCGTTGAGTGGCTTATCAACAGTGTCGGTATATAATAACGCTATAGATTTTTTCTCATTTGATTCTGTCGTTGAGACTCTAATTATAGTTATAAACTGTAAAAACTAGCTAACGGAATAAAACCATTTCGATTAATTAATCGCTTAAAATATTTAATATAAGAAAAATTAAACAACCATTCATTTTACAGAGCTAATAATAATTAATATTATAAAAATGTATCTTCTGTCTTTAAAATTGAAAATTAAATTATCTTTAGCAATATAAATTAATACAGTGGATTGCTGAATTTAATTGTGATCACAATTATGATTAATTTTAGAGATTATATGATTAATTTATAGACAATTAGAATTACAGAATATTGATTATTCGGTATAGAAAACATTAGGGTAGAGATTACTAAACGATATAATATAGGATTATGTAATATAGAATATATTAGTATATTATTATAGAATCTAGGCTATACAACAAGTAATACATGATATGATTGCAAAATAGAAAAAATACATAATATAAAGGCCCATTTTGTAATCGAATTTAAGACTCATTTCGTTTACAATATGTTATTACAAATATAAAATTGTAGAATACGTAATAGCTATTTTTATCGAATTTATACATAGAATGTGCTATATAATCTTAAGAACATGATTATGTAGTGGCGTAGGTACAAGGTGTGCCAAGGGGCTATACCCCCCCCCGATATATGTATATATATATATATATATATATATATATATATATATATATATATATATATATATATACATATTTACTGTACTCAAGTAGTACCCCTAACCAGAGGCGTCACAAGGTGGGGGGCGGGGCTGAGGACTGCGCAAGGTGGAAAAATTTCGGGGGTGACACCATGGCGAAAAATAGCAAAATATATAGAAGAAGTATGCATTT